AGGATGTTGTGAAACCCGTCTGTTAATTTGGTTTGCACTTTTCATAACATGGATGGTCTAGATTTATGTTAGCATTTTAAAAACTTTTTTATATTCAAGTATATATGAAAATCTGTTTTGCATTAAGTGAATTTTAATGTTTTTGTTTTTATATCTTCTTAGCTCTTAAGTGTTGAACACTGTTGACAGTGAAGAACTTTTCTAAATGGTTTTCAATGTAATAAGGATGTGAAGCTTTCTTCCTCTTTAATTCTGCAAATGCTGAACTGTGCTTATATACACTATAACCAGCTGTGCCTTCCTTTGCATTTAGTTTATTGTAAATTATCTATATATATATATTTTTAGTATTAAGAGAAAATGTTTGAAAGACAAAAACTAGTATCAAACTCTCTAGTAGAATTTCATTATTTTTCACAAGTAGGCAATATGAAAGCATTCATTACTTTTCTTTTTGGCTTTCAACTGTATGAGAACTGCCTTAGAAGCTCTTTTGAACTGAAATTCAGTGAATATAATGTCCAAGTAATGTTTTTATAAAAAACAACTAAGCCATATTTAGATAATAAACTTTCATAAAAGAATGTTCTAAAGTGCATTTTTTGAAAAATGAACCTTGAAAGGCTAGCCTCCTGTTTACATTTCTTTGAGACTCCTTCCACACAAAAGCCTGAGATGGAAAAACTACATAAAGTTCACTCCACCTATGCCCCTGGAATATTTCCTAGGTTAGCACATTCTTATTTTAAAAAATTAACCTGGTTCTTTCCATTTTCCATTGAGAATCATACCTCTCTGAGGCATTTACTGTATGTAAGTTAGGGTTTCTCTGAACCCCAGAAATTATAATTAACATTTAAAAATCCTATGCTTTGGAAAAGGTTCCCAGACTGGTGATGAATACATATAACAAAGAAAACATTTTGTAATACCAGCTATCTTCATGTGTATGGGTAAAGCCTTGGCTGTGGAAACTGAGGTGTAGGATACACTGCTTTATGTATTACTGTTCATGGTAATACATAAAGGAAATGAAGGAAAATTGATAAAAAAAAATACATAAATTCTTCAGGAACCTTATCATTGTGAAACTGAACTTATTATGTAACAATCTGCAGTACTAAGCAGTGAATCCTTTTGTGTAGTGTAGTTTAGAACAGTGATAATAGAAACATTTTTTGTTCCTTCAAAAGAATCAGCAGGCACCAGTCTCAGGTGCCAATCTGTGTATGGAGTAGGAAAGTTCTGATGTAAGATACAAGAACTGAAAGGCGCCTGTGCGTGCAACTCCATGAGCTAATTACCATCCTCAACTGTAACAGAAACCATTTGAAATGTGGCTAAATAATTCACTGATCCAAATGAGGCATTAAATGGCAGGGATTATGAGAAAGGGTAAAAAACAAACATTTGAGTTTTCAAGCATTTTAAAATTATGTTGCGACACTTAACGCTTGAGATGTTCAACTGGAATTGAGCTTGAGATTTTCAGGAATTTTATTTGGTGATGTAAGCCCTTATCTGGGGGAAAAATCCAAACACTCTAATATGCATCCTTGAATATAAAGTAATGGACCTAGTTCCACAATCTGCAAGCAGACACTATTGTCACTACCCACAGGCTAAGGATAATACTGCGCCAAAATAAAAGCTAGTCCAGGGGACTGGTGTTCACCAAACATAAAATGTTAGAAGAGGCCTTTGAGATACATCCAACCGCCATTTCCAGGCAAGGACAACTGCACTGAAGCGGGAATGCCTACAGCTACATAGCTCATCGAAGGCAGAACAATGACTGGTGTTCAGTCCAGTGCTACTTCCCCATGCCCAAAACTGCTGGCCCAAAACCACGTTAGGTAGAAAAAAACAAAAGAGCATTAAAAACAAACAAAAAACTTGTCAGATAAGAGCATACCTCAAATGCAAGATTCTTACAGAGAAACTAAGTCAGTCAATGTGCAAAAACCTCAACCTAGTATTCCCTTCCTCCAAATACTATGATTAACATACACTCTAGTTCCATTTATTAGAAATGGAAAAAATACAGTAATTTTTGATGCACCAAAAAACTCACATAACACAAATAGAGAACTGGAGGTGTTAAAGTATAATCCTTATTGCTCTGCCTCATTCTGTGTGTGTGTGTTGGGTTTGTCTTTTTTTTTTTTTAAACAATTATTTTAGTCAAAAAATAGGTTTTGAAGAACATAATAACTTTGTTTTCCCTTTTTATATGTTTGCTTGATCAGTGTTAAAATGCTATGGTAAAGTTTATAGAACTATAACCTAACTGTTGGTCTCTTTGTACACATCTTTTCTATGACTGCAAATCTTCACTCAATTTCCATATATGTATCATTTTTACTGTTATATTATTTTTGTTCAATAAATACTTTGTGATAAAAGGTTTGAAGAGGCAAGTGGGTTGTATTACTTCCATTTACTTGGGATGATTCAAATGCCACTATTCTATGGGTATAAGTTGGAAAAAGAATTGTTATTTAGCTTAAATATTGCACATTGAAACACTACGTATATGTAAATCTTATTTAAACAGGTATTTAAGGAAACAAATATACTTTATTGACACTGAGTTGGATAGAAGGGAATGGATTTGAAAACTGGTCCTCTGATCACTTAAATCTGAAGTTCTGTCATTCTGCATTGAGGTAGGGAGGTAATGAGGAGGGGAAAACTACATTACCATTTACTCTTTTAGCTGCAATTAACATCAAGAAATTAAAGCCATCCCACGTTCATGGATTAGAACACTTAATATTGTTAAGATCACAATACTACCCAAAGTGATCTATGGATTCAATAAATTCATCACAATCCCAAAAATCCCAAAAAATCACATCCTAAAATTTATATGGAATTTCAAGGAACCTGGAATATACAAAACAATCTTGAAAAATAAAAACAGAAGTGGAGGACTCACTTCTTGACTGCAAAACTTATAAAGCTACAATTAATTAAAACACTGTGGTACTGGTAGAAGGATAGCGATGTGGACTGAGAACAGAATTAAGAACCCCCAAATAAACCCTCATTTCTACGATCAATTGATTTTCAACAAGGGTGCCAAGGGGGAAAAGGACAGGTATTTCAACAAACAGGCCTAGGAAAACTAGATACTCACATGCAAAAGAATGAGGTCAAAACAGATCAAGGTCCTAAATGTAAGCCCTAACCTATAAAATTCTTAAAACAGGGGGAAATATTCATCATCTTGGATTTAGCTACTGCAACTTAAATATGCAACCAAGAGCAAAGGCAACACAAGAAAAAATAAACTGGACTTCATGAAAATAAAAAACTTTTATCAACAGGACACCATAAAGTAAGTAAGCACAACCCACAGAAGAAAATAATTACAAATCATATATGTCGTAACAGTCTAGACTATATAAAGAACTCCTACAACTCAACAAAAAAAAAGGCATACAACCAAACTTTTTAAAGGAAAAGGACTTAAATATACATTTCTTTAAAGCAGATAATGGTAACACATGAAAAGGTGCGTAACACCCTGAAGTCCTTAGGGAAATGAAAACCACAATGAGACACCACTTCAAAGCTATTAGAATGAATATAATAGAAAAAAAGCAGCAAGGATGAGGAGAAATTGGAACTCGTGCATAACTACTGAAAATGTAAAATGGTGTGGGTACTGTAGAAAAGAGTTTGGTGGTTTCTGAAAAAGTTAAGGATTAAATTACCAACTGACCCAACAATTCCACTCCTGGTATATGAACCCAAAGAATTTGAAAAGAAAGGCTCAAACAGATGCTTGTACACCAATGTTCATAGCAACATTATTCACAACAGCCAAAAATGGAAAAAAAAAAAGCCCATGTCTATCAACAGATGAATGGATAAGCAAATTATCCATATTTTGCTTGGATAAACAGATAAATGGATAAGCAAATGTTGTATAGTCATGCAACAATGTTACTCAGCTATGAAAACAAATGAAGTTCTGACACATGCTACAATGTGGATGAACCTTGAAAACATTATGTTAAGTGAAATAAGCCAGAGACAAAAAAAACAAGTGTGGTATGATTCCACTCACATAAAATATGTAGTTTTTGTCTCTATGAATTTGCTTATTCTAGGTAAGAGGTTACCCAAAGGATGAGGCAAGGAGAAAACGTGTTGGTGTGTGTGGGGGGCAGGGGGGTGGAGATTGTAATGGCCACAAAGTTTCTGTTGTTTGGAGTGATAAAAAATCCTGGAAATAGATAGGTAACTGCTTTACAACACTGTGAACATCATAATTAATGCCACTAAACTGTATGCTTACAGAGTGCAAAAATGGTAAATTTTATGTTACATGTATTTTACCACAATTTTAAAAAAGAGTAAAAACACACACAAACCACATGAACTGTCTTGGGTCAAAAAGATTATAACATGTTAACAAGTAGGCTTTTGTAAGCTAATAAAGCTGCCACTTCTATATAGAGTATGACATATTCAACATGTTATCATCATCACTTGGAAGGAAAACAAAAAAGGCATCCCCTCTTACCTTTAAGAACCTTGTCAGTTTAAGACGAATCATCTGTTCAAGGTTCACAGTTTGAGCTTCAGTTCTCTTCACTGCAAAGTTTTCAGAATCTGAATGATGCTCAAGTATCAAAAAAAGAAAATCAAATTCCTTAATAAAATGAAGGAACATCCGTAGTTTTTCCTAGGAAGAGCAATTTTATATAACTGTTGGATACAATTCTTCACCTTTTATATGCAAGAATGAAACAATAGGATAACTGTCAAATTTTCAACAAATCAAATATATAACCTATGAAATGAAAAATCTGACAAAAGTGCTATCCTATAAAATTACAGTAAAGGTTAGTAAATGAATGGCCAGCACAATCATAAATTAATTGCTACTGGCACAGAAACACTTCATTATCTTGAGACACATAAAATAAAATGGTCCCATTCTGCACAACCTTCTTCCCCAAGAAAGAACCGTGACTCAACAAAACCACATTTTAACAACATGAAGATTTTGTTATTATAAATTTTGAAACAAAATGGAGGAATTTTCACATAGTATTTGTAACCTTCAAAGTACAATATTAATACATGTCTGTCAGTTAGAAATCACAGCAGTTTGTTAGGCTACAGAGTTTGACATGAAACCAGTTTACAAATGTGAGAAGCAGTAGTGGTCCAATATTCACCATCACACATGAGTCTGTTTCTTCCAGAAATTTTTTTTTAAAAATTAAAACTTCACCATCATGAAATATTAAAATAACACCCCAAACATGCCACAATCACTATTCACAAATAAAGTTAAAATGAAATATACAAAAATTCACTTAATACTGTTAAATAACAATAAACTACAAGATTTCCTGAACAGAAATGGTAGGACCCCTGAATGTTTTACAGTGAATGTCAGGAAAATGAATTAAGTTATGACTCTTTTCATGATATATAAGCCCCAAATTTACATGATCATTTCAAAATATAGCAATTAAGATCTGCAGTTGGTAAGATGCACTAAACAAATAGTCCTTAAAAGTGAACACAAATGCTTAAAGCACTGTTACCAACACCAAGGTGTATTTATGATGCTCAAAAAGATGCATAATTAAAACTGTAATATTTACTATCTCTGGTAAACAGATAATACCTAGAATGCTTTAAAACAATCTTCCAAGTTCTCATTTCTCTCGTTTGTTATTTATCATGGCTCATTTCAAACACATATTACAGCTTTCAGCTGATTCCAAGTGAATGCTATTAAAACACACATGTACACACATCTCTCAAATGAAATAAATTGTTCCCCAATGAAGAATCATCCATTCTAATAAAAGAATTGTATTTAAGACAAATAAACAAAACAAGATCTCATGTTTGACTGGACTTGCATGGTTTAACTAAATTAAAGCACAAGGTAACATAGGTTAAGTGTGTTAGTATACAAATATCCAATAATATGCAGTAAGTATTTCTAAAATGAGGAAAGGTAAAAATAAATAATTTTGGTACTTTAATTTACTGGTATGTAATTCGAGATCCCCAAAATGTCAGGTATTCACTTGCTTGAATCAACTTCTGCATCACATGCTTTCCTAAACATAATGTGCTTATCAATTTCTTAGCTACTCTATTTGCCAATGTTCAATAAAAAATTATATAGCATGAACGTAAGTGTGTTCAAGTTGGCTCACTTATTTTACTGTTAAGCAAAGCTAAATTTACATTCCAGGAAACAATGCAGTTTAATTTTAAAAACAAACAAAAAATGCAGCAGTAAAACAATTTGTGAGGAGAAACAGATGCATTCACATATAATAAAGCCACTGCAACTTCTTCAGGCATCAACTGTTGTGTTAAATAAACAGACAGTAGTTATTTAGCAGCAATGATTCCGCAATAAATAATGCACTGTGTTTCTCAGTCCTGCACAAAAACTGCAGCTATAGTTACATCAACAGCTGTAACCTACTGGCTCTAATGGCAGAGAAGACCTTAAAACCAACTGTACAAAAAAATTGTCACACTGTGACAACAAATATAAAAACAATTTGTAGGTCTGAAATAAAAAGACTCCACTGTGAAGAGGACAGTGTAGACAAACGAAGATTCCAAGTCCACCAAAAGAAATAATTGCCTTCAGATCTGAGTCCTTGATTGATAAGAAAGGCTGGGGGCTGGGCTTGAAACCATGTTATCAGACTTAAAAGAGCATGCTCTGTCTTCTGTTCTTCCCATGTCCTAAAATATAAAGTCATTTTATGAGGCAGTTCATGGTTCAGTTTTATCCCACATACAGTATTTGGTGACTCTATGAAGCTAATGTTCCCACCAGCAAAAGCTAATTCCATGGTAAGAGAGATCAGCTCTGTCTTAAAAGACCCTCTTGTTGATGGGGCCAGTCTACAGCTTCTATGCTTCGAAGTGATGAGCCTGATGACTAGGGGAGCACAGATGTGTCTTCTGCCTCAGGTGCCAGGGATGGCGTGTCAGTGATCAAGCCAGGTCACTTGTAAGAGGTCTCTGTGCCATCTGCAGCTTTCAGGATCCCTGATTGCACTGAGTCAGGTTCTCTCTGAAGAATTACTGAGCTGCCCACATCATACAGAAAAGTGAGTATGTGCAATGCTAAACATACACAGTTGTGGAATGCACTGTACATTGGTTTTTACATCAATAATTTTACTGATCAATTTATAAACCAAAATCTTGGTTCCACGCAAAATTTCATGATCGACATGTGAAATGGTTTATGACAAACACACCTGTCTCTGGATAAGAAGAATTTCGAAAACCGGGGTCCTTTTGCAACTGAATCTCTTTCAAACTGAATATTGATACACCTAAAATGCATAGATAAAAAATAGCAGATGAAAGCCTATCATTAAAGCAAATATAATCCAACTAGAGACAAAATGTCTAAATTATATACTGAGTGAACATGAAACATTTATACTAATTTACAAGGCTAAAGCCCCACTGAAATATTTTCTCTTTTGTTCCAAGGTTTTGAGAAGAAAACCAAGCCAAATAATCTCCCCTCAGAACCTTTCTCCTCCAATCTGGCTTTAACTCAGGCTGTGAGTGTGTGTTTCTCTGAGGAGAGTGAACACAGTTTTATTTCTAGGGCTTACTGAGGTTGGGAGACCTCATCAAAATGTATTACTTGGTTTTATTCTATCCTTTCTCCATCTGTCTTATGATGGCAGTGAAGGTCAAATCCATAAACTATCCTCAGAATTTTACAGAAAAACAAGAAATAGGTTTATACACCCTTCCTGCAACTCAAACTTTAAAACTTGATATTAGTAATAATAATGAAATGTAAATAGCATCCTAAAAAATACTTGTAATTCATCTTTCTCATTTCCATCTCTGCCACAGAGGTAGTCTTTCATTACAAAATATCCTTTAAGTTCTAAGTGAAAAGTCTTGAGAAGTCTTGGTTCCAATTAGAAAACCACTGTCTAGTAAATGAGAATGGGAAATTAATGAAAGCTTTTGGTAGCTCATTTCCAAAATATTCTCTTAATTCCCCACTCACCTTGCTCAGTTTTAAAGTAAAATATTGGGGTAATTTTTAAGAATGTTCTGAGTAAAATCAAGCAGTTACCTCAGGCATGAGAAATCAGCTATTTTAATGACAATATGCTCACCTCTGTCATGGGGAGAGTTAAGTCAGAGTGAACACAGTAAAGGAAAACCATCTTCACGTCTTAAAAAGGAAATTTACTTTCATGAGAAAACTAATGTTTTGGCTGTGTTTCATTACAACTTGCTTGAAATCCATTTTTAACAATTCTGAACCAAAGTAGTTCAGATTGGGCCTAATGACAATGTCTATCATTGGATGGCATCTTCCAGCTTAAGTCCAAGAAGACTAATGACCCACATGTAAGTGCTATTAATTTCTTAGAGTCGTAGCAACATGCTCAGTGTTAAAAGAAATAAATTAAAACAGGTAAATAAGACATACACCTCCCTTCAAGTATTTCTGATCTAATTATAAAAAGACCAGAATTTTAGGCTTAAAAACCAATAGTCCCTTCCTAGACTCCTAATTCACCCCCATCTCAAACCTGGATAAAAATAAAAGGGGATGGGAGGACACACTAGAATTTCTCTTACTTTCAGGTAAAGCATGTATTCTTGGTCCCAGACTTCGAAAGTACACATGTTTCATGGCCTCTTCTGCTGAAACCCTTTTCTTAGATTCATACTGTGAAAAACAAAAAAAAAACCTGCTTCATTAATTTTTTTCTCTAAATACTGGAAAAAAGCATGTGTGAGGGGCAGGGGACACACATACAAATGAGCAGTTAAGCGTTTAGAGCTACCGTTATCTTGACTACTTAATACAATGATTTATTTTTAAGAATGAATTTACTATGCTCTAAATTGAGTTACTACTGGAGCTTGTGTAGCAATGATCTCAGTTACAAATTTTCAAAATAAAGCTAGATCTTAGCTAAAGATTAAGATTCCTTTTATTTTCTGAAGTGATGGAAAAAAGCAAAATATCTGATCTACTGTGTTACTTTTCTTCATGAACAACAAAGGATTATTAGAAATGTAACTAATACCTTTATGAAAGATGTTATTAAGTTACCTATTCAATACCCATTTCCCCTTTTTCCTTCATGAGATAATGTAGATTTAAGGCATTCATGCTTCCAACTCTGACATATGAATCATGACTGTTCTAAGTTTAGGCTAATTATGGCAATCCAGCTCCCCAATTTTCAGCCTCTCTTACAATTAATATTCTAGCCATATGAAGATTTCAGAGACACAGGAAGAAGTCCTTAGAGGGGTTTTTGGGAAAGCCTTTGCTTTACAAATACAAGAGGACTAATGTGACTGACACACTCTTATCCTCTCTGTTGTTTCTGCTTTGAATGAAGATATGGATGGTATTTGGAGGTACAACAGCCTGTAAAGCATAGGTATAAGGAAAAAAGAAAGAGAACATAAGAAAACATGAACTGCAGAGAACATGGCCTTGACACAGTTGATCACTGCCAGCAGTTAACTACCTCAGTGAAGGGAATATGCTATGCACATTTTTATATGTCTTTTTTTCTGTTTCTACATAGTCTGGTGGTGAATCACCAAAAAAGTCGATGGACAACAAAAGCAATTAGCAACTATCTCTTTGGCTTCCATGATCGCCAATAATCACCAAAAATAAGCTTCGGAAAAAAAAAAGGGGGGGAGGTGAAGGGAATATGCTATGCACAGGCCTGTGCATAGGCTACAAGGAGAGTCCCAGACACACTAGGAGAAACCGTATTTTTTTCACCTAAGCATGTGTCTTAAGCATGCTAGATACTAGCATAAATAATCTTATTTATGAGAGGGATATTACTGATCCCAGTCTATAGATGAAAAAACTAAGGCTCAGAGAAGTTAACACACCATTTAATGACTATAAAAAAGATGTAACTTACCTGAAGAAATTTTGTTATCAACTCAATTCCTTCAGAGTCTAACCTAAAAACAAGGAAGGACAAGTAACTATTTATTTATTAATCTTAGCTGATAGCAACTTTCTAAATAAAACTATTTTCCAAGTGTTTTCATCTGCTAAATTCAAGTGCCCTAAAATAGCACACTTTGCTGCTTTTCAAACAGATTCAAATCTGTTTTATCCTTAAGATTTATTATGCCACTTAAGAAGCAACCACAAGTAACTGGGCGTCAACTCAAAATTTCAATATTCAAGAGTAAATTAGATTACTAAAATGATAGAATTTTTTAAAATCACCATTTTATCTCTAAACAAAATAACCTCTATTATTGAAAAAAAACTTTAGTAAACTAGATCTGTTTTCAGTGTTCTAGTGAAGGCAAGAGTACAACAGCATCATTTCATATTATATAGGTGAAAACAAGACGGTAAGAGACCTCCAAATTTGTCACTGTGGTTCAAGATAAACAGAGATGAATCACTCAACAGATTTTTACAGGACAATATGCTGAAGGTTGGGTACTAGAAGCCATAACATTCAATTTAAATATGCCTCAATAATTTCATAACACTTTATTTAAAAGGGATACAAAACCAACGACATAGTCAATAAAGGCAGAAAACTGTAAGGATGAAATTAATAAAACAGGAAGTAGAAGATTTAGGGGTTACCTTAAAGGGATAACCTCTTGATCAGAAGTCACAAGTCACAAATTCTATCATGCACTGATATTCACTGGCAAAAGCAGAATCACGGAAACTGCCTCCCCTCCCTCCCACCTGAAGTGCTCTTAGTAGGTACTGTGGGTGCTGTGGCCTAGAGATTCTCCAGAGTCTCCTAATCCTTTGCAGTCTGCCATTCTGACAAACACCCGAACTCTGTGGCTACAGATAAAGTGAAAGTTGCTCAGTCGTGTCCAACTGTGTGACCGCATGGACTATACAGTCCATGGAATTCTCCAGGCCAGAATACTGGTGTGGGTAGCCTTTCCCTTCTCCAGGGGATCTTCCCTGGAGAAGATCAACCCAGGGGTCAAACCCTGGTCTCCCACATTGCAGGCGGATTCTTTCCCAGCTGAGCCACAAGGGAAGCCCAAGAATACTGGAGTGGGTGGCCTGTCCCTTCTCCAGTGATCTTCCCAACCCAGGAATTGAACCAGGGTCGTCTGCATTGCAGGCGGATTCTTTACCAACTGAGCTATCAGGCTACAGATAAGGTAGGTGCTAAGCTCATGAAGAATCTGCTTTAAAGAGCTGCAACTTTCACCCTGGATATTACAACAGCAAGCAATATATATACGACAAAAACAGGATTTATGCTTTTACGCTAAAAGTCTAACACGTTATATTATTCTTCCTTCTTAGGAAGTCTACTTAGAATGCTACCAGTTAGTTTACTGACAAGGCTATCAAATCACATAAACACTTTCAAAATAGTTTTGGCACCAGAATGATCTTACTAATCGTCCCTATCTTGAGAGTAAATGGAACTAGAGTGAGTATGTTATGCTGTGAGCAATGTGAATGGCTTTTGATTAAAACAGATATTTGCCTTATTTGGTATCTTGGTGCCCTTTTCACATTTATTTTTTTCTTAAGGAAAGATGAAAAAATACAAAGGGGGTTAGTGATTCTACGTTACTTACAGAAATGTAATATATTCCCTAAGTAAAAACATTCTGACTCAAATTTTAATGGGTGTCTTAGATGGATCTGAGGTAGGTCTGTAACTGGATGAACAACATATAGGATATGAAGGCTCAGAAAGTTCATATTCTTCAAATACAAATTATCATTAACACTGGCCAAAATTCTGATGGGTCATCTTGTATAAGAGCCAAGATTTTACTTATAACACATTCCTAAGTAAATACAGAATGTACGTGCTCAGCCATGTCCAACTCTCTGTGATCCCATGGTCTTCGTAGCCTGCCAGGCTCCTCTGTCCATAGGATTTTCCAGGTAAGAATACTGGAGTGGGTTGCCACTTCCTCCTCCAGGGGATCTTTCTGACCCCGAGACTGAACCCGTGTTTCTAACATCTCCTGCATTGGCAGGTGGATTCTTTACCACTACACCACCTGGGAAGCCCAAAATATAGAATAATTGTGTAGAAAAAATAAATTTCATCATGGTCTTCACAGTACTGAATAAGGCATAAATCTGTTTTCTTTCTGGGAAAAGGAACAACCTAAATAAACCCTAGAATTATATTATGTATATATACACACATATATATTCTATGCTCATTTTATTTACAGTTCAATTCTGTGGACTTACATAGTTTGGTGATTCTTGGTCACTGAATTATAAAATTAATTTGACATAGGAAGAAATTAAGTTCTAAAATATTTAATAACTGTATGTATATCAAGTATTTTTCCTGAATCCTTACCGTGACAAATGGTTCAAGAGACTAAAAAGAAAAAAAGAGAGAGAGAGAGAGAGAGAGAGAGAGAGAGACTAAAAAGAATTAAAAAAAAAAGCGTGTTCCCCCTTTCACGTAAAGAGAGAAAAAAAAATACCTGGGTGCATGGTTAATTAGAGGCTGCGGTTTATATTTTGGAAAGTTGTAGTTCTTGAACTCATCATTTGAAGAAACACCTGGCCAATTTTCCTGAGATGGAGTTCCTGAATTTAAAAATATATATACTTATAAATATACAGAAATTTTTATACAGGCAAATAGGCAGAACAAAAGTGTCTTAAATAACAACTTATATTTAGTAGATAATTTGATTGTTTCAACTAAAATTAGAATGACAGAAATAGTAAACAGACTTTTTTTCAGACTAAGCAAAGATTCCACAAAAATGATGCCTAATTGACATATAAGTTAAAATATTTCCTAATAATGTACTAAAAGTCAATTTTCAATAATATTTCTCTTCTCTGTGTTTCCATAAAATCATTATTGCACAGGTAGAAATCAGTAAATAAAAAGCAGAAGTTATCTAGAAGGATCTTTATCTTAACATGCAAATTCTAATTCTTATAAAGGCAAGTTATGTTAGTCTCAGTATCAAATTTATATATATTTATATATATATATAAATATTTATACATATATATTTATTTATTTATATATTATAGTTATAGGTAACAAATCACTGGGAACAGAGTTTTTCTGTTACCTAGCAGTCGGAAGATTAAGTGCAGTTCATCTTCCACAGTTGATCCTGGAAATAGAGGTCTTCCAGAAGCCATTTCAAAGAAAATGCAACCAACACCCCTATAAAATATACCATAAAAAAAAAAAAGATGAGTAGTCCATTTATATATTATTAAGCATAAGAATCTTTTCCTTAAGGCTGCCTCTCTGGAGAATTCTGTTCTAGCCTGCTAGAAAATCTGCAGATTTCTTTCAGATATAACTAAACTAACTTGTTAACATTTAGCTTACTTGTCTCATTTTCCATACTTCTACTATATCCATTTTCCCCACTTAAAATGTCCAGCCCTCTTCTGCATGATCCTTGAAGAATACCACTAACCATAGCTAATAGTGATTTAATGCTTACTATGTGTTAGGCAGTGGTCAGCAGAGCTAGGGAGAAACAAATGATTCAAGTTGCTTTTTGTAGGAAGCAAGAGACAGAGCTCACAGATGTGGGGTAAGGTGAGAGAGAGTGAGTAAGACAGAGAGATGTGTTAAGAGAAGGAAGAGAAATGGATAGAGGCTCACTGAATAGACACTGTCTTCTAGGACCTGTGTGAAGACATGAGTTTAAAATAGGAGTCCTTCCTTTAAGAGACTCACAACCTAGCAATTACATATATATATATAAAAGTTAAAATATCATATAGAAGATTAAATAATGGAGCCATTATGGAAAACAGTATGGTAATTCATCAAAAAATGTAAAACAGAATTGCCATCTGATCTAGCAACTCCACTTCTAAGTATACAACCAAAAGAAGAGCAGCATCGCAAAGAGGCATCTGTACACTCATGTCCACAGCAGCCAGAATGTGGGAACAACCCAGCTGTCCATCAGCGCAGGAGTCAGTCAACAGACGACATACACGTGCAGTGATTATTCAGCCTTAAAAATAAGGGAAATTCTGACACATAAAAAAGCCAAGTATCTATCTTCACCAGGGGTAAACCTTGATGACATTTACGCCAAGTAAAATAACCAGTCACAGCAAAACAAATACTACATGCTGCTGCTGCTAAGTCACTTGAGTCGTGCCCGACTCTGTGCAATCCCACAGACGGCAGCCCATCAGGCTCCCCCGTCCCTGGGATTCTCCAGGCAAGAACACTGGAGTGGGCTGCCATTGCCTTCTCCAGTAAATACTATATGATTTCACCTATATGAGGTACTTAGAAGTCAAATTCACAAACACAGAAAATCAGTGGAGGGAGAGGGAAATGGGGAGTTACTATTTAATAAGTACAGTTTCAGTCTGCAAAACAAAAAGAGTTGTGGAGACTGATGATGATGGATGCACAGCACTGTAAATATACTTAATGGTAAATTTGGTTATATATATTTTCCCAAAATTTAAAGAAGCTTAAAAAAGAAAAAATGTCTCACAATACAAATTATATAAATGTTCAACCCAAGACAACAACAAAGCAAAGTATATGATTTATCACCACACAGAGAGCAGTTGCAGTATGCGTAACCACAGCTCAAGGGAAAATTAGCCATGGGAGGCTAGGTTACAGTCAGGGAGGGCTTATGAAAACTGTGTTTGAAGGCCCTAGGCTCAGGCCTGAGTCAGAGAAACAGAGTAGTCATTCAAGACAGGTGAACTGGTATGAATACAAGAGCAACGCCGGGAAAGTCCAGGTTACTTATGAAAGATAGCAAGTAGCCATCTGGCTAAATGGAAACATCTATGCGAACAGTCTGAAGTAAACTGAAAAAGGTAGAGACGTTTTATGAAGATTATTAAATATTTGATTGAAGAACGATACCTTATTCTATAACAGGTAGTGAATGGGGAAGCAGCAAATGTGTTTGAATAAAAGAGTGTTGTGATCAAAGTGCCGGGTGAGGAAGATTACTACTGTATTTCACTATTTCGAGATCAACTCAAAGCAAGTGGGTTTTAGTGAATATTAAACAATGGTAAAAATAATAATTTCGTACCAGACACTCTTCAAAGTGCTTTATATATATCAGCTCATTTGGTCTTAACGTTACTCACAGGACAGGCTTTTAAAGTAGTTATTGTTATGATTCCCATTTCCTTAAATGAGGAAACTGAGGCACAGGCCAGTAATTTCAAAAAGGTTATATAGTTATAAGTGGTAGAATTGGTCTTTAAACCTAGGTGATCCTACTTGCCAGAACTCTTCATCATTGTTTATATTGTCTCTCCTTAAAATAACATCTCCTTAAAGCCAAATACCAATCAGTATGTCCTGTGTTAATGGCTACATTCTTTCAAAATTATAAATGGCAATAACACATGCACATATTTACCACATGTCAATCTGTGTTGAGTACTCGGAGGACCCCAGAAGCACATCAGGCGGCCGGTACCAAAGTGTGACAACTTCATTTGAGTAGGTCTTTGTGGGAACTGACTTGGCTCTGGCCAGTCCTTCAGAGGGCAAAGAAAGCAAGTAAGAGACAGCTAGAATGTATTTCCCAGTCCACACGAGCACACTGACTCCGGCCACAAGGACGCCTGAGATGGCGACTCTATACCTGTTTGAAGCTAACAAATTTCGTCTTATCAATTTTTGAGTGTGGTCTTGGGTCGGCAAATCTTCATGTAGTTAAACTAAATAATAATAATATTTCCACAGTCAGGGACTATGCTACTTTTACAAGTGAATGCACCTGGTCTCAGTATCTGGGCTAATCTAAACTTAATATATCTTCCTTCTATCTATGATTATGCCCAAATTACTTCCTACTCCAACTTAAATTAATGCAAAACAGGCCAATGTTATTAAGGGAAACAATTTTACTTCTTACAATTATAGGCTTATTGACTTTTAATCTGATTTCAGTTTTCATTTGCTGTACCAATTCTTACCAAAAAGCTTGAAGTTACTGGTCCATGATCCTGTTAAATTTTATTAACAATTCCCTTGCAGAAGTTTTTAGTTAAAGTTTTCTTGGACTAAACTACATTGTCGTTCTGTACTTCTTAAGTTTTTTGTTATATAGTTAATATTAAAATACAATGAGCCTGTCTTTGGATATTATTAGTTGCTGTAGATAACATGTGCCATTCCTTTGCCTGTTGAGTATGAAATTCACTGATTATCTAGATATAAAGGCAAGAGCTCACAACTTTCTCTCTTGAGCCACTAGTATAAGAGTTGCCTTTATTACCTCCATGCCTCCAAATTCTGATCACCTAAAGAAGTTTAAAAGATATCTGAAGAAATATAAATTTTAACATATACTTTATTTCAAACAACAGGGAATAATTCATTCACAGGTTGTGATTTCTGCTCTGTGTAACTATTATATCTGATTAAAATACTAAGTAAGAAAAATGTCATAGAAGGATAATTCAATACTTTGTTAAAGCAGATAAAGTCACCCAAGTGAAACCAGAATTTTTCTTTTTGAAATCAGGCAGTATTCATACTATTTTCATTTAGTTTAAGGGCTAAAGGATGTAACTGAAACAATGTTGGCACTATTTTTATTTAATTACAGATTTTACTCTACCATCCCAACTTGGTAAAATAAATTCAAAATTTTTTTGATAATTAGCAAATGGGAGCGACTTTCTACCTCCCCTTCCTGATGTAACACCAGGTCATGAGAGGAAAGGGCAGGCTGCACGTCTGCCACTCCCATACCTACAACATCAAAGCCACTGCAGCTGTGGTTTCCTCCGTACCTATACTTCTCCCCGAGAGATTCTAAACCATGGTACTTGCTCAGACAGACTTCTGGTTCAGTTCACAATTAGATCTGCAATACTGGCATGAGATGCAATAGACAATAATCTCGTCCAAACCAAATTAACTCAATGTGACATGGTATTATATAAGCCATTTTCTATTATTAATGAAAATGTCTATTTATATGAATACTTCCCTGATCACAGGAAAAGTAGAATTTTCATCTAGATCAACAACAACTTTATACCTCTGGAGATCCCCTGAAAGGGTCTCAGCACGCTTAGGGGACTATGGACCAGTTCTGAGAACCTGTGATGTTTAGCATTCACTAACATAACTGACCACCAAAATTTTCAAATATCTTCCAAAAATTTCCAAACCCACATAAAAAGAAACAGTACAGTGTCAATACTTGTTTTTTCTTTTAAACTTAACCACCTGGAACTATCTATAAATATCTCATACATTCCGTACCAAAATCTGCTAGCTTTAATTCTCCTTTTTCATTAATGAGGAGGTTCTGTGGTTTTAAATCTCGGTGTAACACCTTTCTTCTGTGGCAATATGCCAAACCACGTAGAATTTGGTATAAAAACAGCTATGGAAACAAAAAACAGAAATTAGTCTTACAGATAATAAGACATACTTTGGTATAAATTATGGTAAACAGAAAAGCGACTGGCCTAGAATAGTCAAAGAAAAAAAAGGAACCATCTCCTTTTCCTTACATACTTAACCAGAATTTTACAATTTATTATTCTACTTGAAGCATGTATTTTTTTAGTGTGAACAAATGAAACTTTATTTTAGTAGTAATAGTTCACTTATTACTGAAAATGATTTTAAATAAATGTACTTCATAAACTTACAGGTCTACTAATTAGGTCTACAGTTTAATTATGAAATTCTCACAAAACAATCAATCTTCTACCATTATCCCACCCTACTCCCCCTGAAAAAGTACTGATGCAGGACGAAGCCTTTAATATGAGGCACTGGAGCCAGTGGTTCTATGAAAATTGTGAAGTGTCAAAGAGATCGGTGCTGCACAGCTCTGGCCAATTATGTGCTACAAAAATAACCTAAAATAACCTAACCCAGCTTCCATCACCCACCTCCTGGGTACTTTACTTTCAGCACCTCCCACTCAGCCTTCAAAACCTGCTATGATTCAGAAAAGGGATTAAGCACTGTGGAGCTCTGAATGACTCCTGGAAAAAAGCAATTCCTATAAGGCTAATGGTAGACTTTTTTGTTGCAGATTTTGGTGGAAAAGGGAATATGAAACGCAGAAGGTATTTGATTCTTTGTGGTTAACAAAAAAGAGCCTCAAGTCCAGAGCATTCAGGAGTGTACCCTTGGTTTTCTTGGAAGGTGAAAAACAGCATTAGAACTTGGAGAATAACCCAAGGCAGCAGGTGAACAGTGGGCCGGAAGAAATTGCAATTAGCAGAGCTTCTATACTCGACATATTTATGTTTTGAAAACTCTTAAATTACTACTTCCAAATATTCTCATTACTTTTTATGTTTAACAGAGAATAAAATACTTTGCAACTTAATTCAGGCATGCAGACTTGGCTTAAGACAAACTTCTCAAATCTTTGTTAAATTATGATAATTAAGGACAACTTCATTTCCCAATTACTGATAATATGACTGTAGGAAAAACAACATAAAAGCCATAGCAGAAGTAAACATAAATGAGATTCACAACACCTTGCCAAATAAAATATAAAATATGATGAGAACAATTCTCATTGAAAATATATGGAAAAGAGACTCAAAACTTAAAGCCCTATTCTAAAATTCCTAACAATGTGTTATATCCATATATTTTGAACTATTTTTTAGTAAAAGAAACTGGCTCTATTTAAAAAGTATCTTAAGTTTAAAGTTAGTATCTATAGAACTGGAACTGTCGCAAAACCACAGCTGGGACAGCCTATTTCCAAAACAGTCTCATGAACCATTGAGTGAGTTCGGATAAACAGATCTTTGCTAAATTTGGAGTAAATCCAGTCAAAGAAACCTACTGTAAAAACACAACTGTATCAAGGGTTTTTACTTGATCTTACTTTTACTTTTGGGCTTTACCTGGCACAAAGTTTATGTCAAACTTTTCTATCATTACTTGCATCTTCACATATTTTTCAGGTAAGAAAACATAATTATCTTACTTTTCCTCCTAATAGTGCAGAATGGTATTTCCAGCCTAGTATTCATAATACCTACACAGCTTCCTGACCTTACTCATTAGATTAGTACTTTCAAAAGTTGTTGTATAATTAAATACCATTCTAAATATGGGGACTTTGCCATTTAAAGGAGGCCCTTTGCAAAATGCACTGTATCATTTTCACTTCCCTTAAACATTTGGATTCTGATAAAACAGGCCTGTTGTTTCCTTTTTAAGCAGAATATGCCTGTAAATGTATTCTATATATATCCAAGAGAACCAATAATACTGTGAAAGGAAATGTCAGAAGACTTTTCTGCTTTGAAGCAGAAAAAGGTTAAAGGTTTATTGAAGGGCCAAGAAAGGAGAACAAGTGGCTCCTACTCAAAAACCTCAAATTCCTCCGAAGTACTTATTAAAACTTTTAAAATGAAATAGTTCTACAAAATAGGTCTGATTCTAGTAAATACTACAGTATAGCAAACACTAGTTCTGAGTAAATGTGTTCAGACAACAACAACCTCTTTAAAATGCATAACAAAAAATTCTGAAGCAGAATAGTTATGAGACTGGCATATTTCATTATGTAATGCAGTTTGTCTCTGCTTAAGTGTTTGTCTCTAAACAAAATCTTAAATGACGCAGTAAGCATACCTTTACGTTGTGCATACTCATGATGTTTCCACAGTCATCCATGTACTGTTTGAGATCTTTATCCTGAAAAAATATAGCACTATGTGATACATAGTTTTGAGAAGACATGACATTTTAAAAATAAGTTTGCTTTTTAAAATTGAAGTATAGTTACTTCTCAATGTTGTGTTAGTTTCTGGTATACAGAAAAGTGGTTAAGTTATATGGAGATATTAAATATTCTTTTTTAAAAAAATTAGTTGTTTTTTGAAGAAAGATACTGAATGTACCACACATAATTAAATACTAATAACAAGAATGTCCCTGGGGCTGTTAAAAAATCCAATCTGTGATTTTTTTAATAGCAAAATTAAATACTGAAGTTTTATTAAATGCTTACCAGATACTCAAAGACCAGAGTCAAAGATTTATCTGTATGAACAATGTCATGTAAGGTTACTATATTTGCATGTTTTAGATCCTTTAACAGTGAAACTGCAAAACAGAAAAGAAAGCCAATTATTTAGTATGTGGTAGCCAGTCTTTTAAAAAACCCTAAGTTTAACATATGCATGCCTGAATTTAGGAGTCTCTTAAACAATCCAAAGGGATTTGTAGTAGAAATTTTAATAGAATTTTTTCTTTTCTTTTATGGTACTGGGTTTGATATTTTTAATACTTAAATTATTCCTAATACTACACTAATACTCTCCATAACATCTTTTTTTGGCTCAAATGTTAACTTATTGAGACTGTCCCAAGATATGTTTTCTTCTTCCAAACTGGCTTATCAGTTGCCTCACACCATTTTCTGGATAATCCTTTTAAAAAAATGCTACCATTATAAAAATACATTTACATCCTGTATACACTTATTTATGGTCAGCTCTTCCCCTAAGCATCAATATGTAACATCTCCCAGTGTCAAGTGTTTGTCTATGATAATGATCTTATGACTTCATAGTATTTCATCTTAAGCTATATGATAATATATCTAATTCCTTTTTGTTAAATATTTTAGCTTCAGACATTGCTTCTACCCCCAGGGCCTCATTTTATTGTATTTTTTTTCCTCAATGAGATGCCATTAGTTGTGATAGCATATTATTTTCCAGTCATGTATTATTTCTATATCTGAACTCTTTGTACTTAAAAAAATGAACTCTTATTACATAGCTTTGATCTTAAAATGTTCTATGTAAATTTCATAAAACATTCTGCTCGCAAAAAGTACTAATTGTACCTTCTCTTATTGCTGTGCAGGGCGCACCTTCTTCATGTTCCAACCGGATCTCTTTCAAGGCCACCAAATTCTCTGTCAATTTACTTCTTCCTTTATATACTGTTGCATATGTACCCTACAGAATATATTTTCAAAAGATACATGAAAGCAGCATGAGTCTATCTATATCATCAATACAAGAAAGAGCCCTGACTAAATCCCTAATTTCTAGTCATGTGTTGAATTCCATCTTGCAGAGAAAACTCCCCCGTAATCAGCCTTGGCTTTCCTGCAGCCGAGAGGACGTCCGCTCCCTGTGCAGCTTCCCTACTCCTGGAACCCTACAGGGCTTCCAAAGTAAGAACACAAGGAGAATATTTAATTTAAAAGCATTGTGCTAACTATAACTACAATGCTATGTGAAGACTGAGGAAATTAATTAAGCAAATTAAGTGAAAACTGAAGCTGTAACTAACATATTATTAAAATTTTACCCATTTTCATAATCTTTGTATGCTAGAGCTCTCCTTCAAAAACCAAATGTATTCTACAGATATCTTCTATCATGGCCAAGACAGTTCTCAAACTCCCTTAAGGCCTCCCTAATAACTAATTCTATTATTTTCTTCCACTTTATCACTCTGGGAAGCAGACCATTTCAAAATTAGTACTAGTAGCAAGTTCAAGAAAACCTTGAATTTCATTTCAAAAAAATGAGCCAAGAATTGCCTTAACCATTATGATGTGTCTTTAGCCTTACAGATAGTATTTTGATTGTTTACAAGTTTGAGCACATGGAATTTCCCACAGCACAGTCACAGAGTACCAAGGAGCAAACTAAAAGATAGATGCCTATTTTGTTACCAAAAAAGCACAATATTTTGTGCATCAACTGAAGGTTACAATGCTATTAAAAAAATTCATTTCTTCTCACACTGATGGAATAATTTCAAGAATTGAAGGGTATTTCCTTCTAACATTCTGTTGCCTTTACAGGACAAGATACAATCCTTTAGGTGATAAACAGGAAAAATATGTATCTTACATTTTCAAAGTAAGTATTAACTTACCTCTCCAAGCTTTTCCAATTTGATGTAGGTTTCCATTTTTCCAAACCCAATTTCTGACTGAAAGCAAACAATTATAAATTTAGTGTTCTTAAAATTTCAATTCTTCTCTGCCTCAATATCTGAAACTCTCCTGCTCTTGGAATGTTTTGGAATAGAAAAATCTGATTAAATAGTTGAACATCTGTCAGATTTTAAAATAATTTTTTAAAATTGGAACATTCAAAGGCTGAAAAACAAAGTTCACAATTAAAACTGACAAGTCACCTTTTTTACAAATCAGTTAACATTCTGCTTTGAAAAATTTCTGTTCTACCTTAAGACTCTGAAATTTTAAGATATCATAGGCATTTTAGGATACAAAAGGATTTTATAAAAGGTAACTACATGATTTAACAAAATCACAAAATAAACAATTCTCCTACATATTTTCCTTCATCAATCTTTTGTCTTCCCTAGGAAAGCCTGCAAACAAAACACTATTTCAGGTTTTCCCATCAAAGTATAATAAGAAGGATAACTACATGTCATACTCTATGAAGAGTCAGGAAAAGGCTAACACAGAAGAAGTAATATAAGTCTAAATCAGTCTCCTCCATCCCCCACGAAAGGCTTTAAAAGTGAGTTCTGAAAAGCATTGCTTTTAAACCTTGAGCTTGTTTGACTATTTTGTATGGAGTCAATAAATAAGGTAGATGGACTACTCAAATATGCAATGGAAACCCAGTATTTTAAAAATAAAAAAAAAAAACCTAACACAAAAGATATAGGGGAAAAAAACAAAATGATAAAAATATAAAGATTGTGAGAGGAGAAAAGTTAAAAAGAAGAGAATAAGAATTTTCTTAAATTCCTTTCTAGTACCCCTTTTGTGCTTTACTGGAGCAGCCGTGAAGACATACCCCCCACGTCCAAGGTAAGAGAAACCCAAGTAAGAGGGTAGGTGTTGCGGGAGGGCATCAGAGGGCAGACACACTAAAACCATAATCACAGAAAACCAGCCAGTCTGATCACAGGACCACAGTCGTGTCTAACTCAGTGAAACTAAGCCCTGCCGTGTGGGGCCACCCAAGACAGACGGGTCACGGTGGAGAGGTCTGACAGACTGTGGTCCACTGGAGAAGGGAATGGCAAACCACTTAAGTATACTTGCCTTGAGAACCCCATAAACAGTATGAGAAGGCAAAATGATAGGATACTGAAAGAGGAACTCCCCAGGTCAGTAGGTGCCCAATATGCTACTGGAGATCAGTGGAGAAATAACTCCAGAAAGAATGAAGGGATGGAGCCAAAGCAAAAACAATACCCAGTTGTGGATGGGACGAGCAATATTGCATAGGAACCTGGAATGTTAGGTCCATGAATCAAGGCAAATTGGAAGTGGTCAAACAGGAGATGGCAAGAGTGAATGTCGACATTCTAGGAATCAGTGAACTAAAATGGACTGGAATGGGTGAATTTAACTCAGATGACCATTATATCTAC